ATTTTGTTGTGTGTAAGAAAAATGTTGAATTTCTTTGGCTCTTTGGTTATTTTTGTAAAAACATTTATGAAGTTTATACACATACAAGAAGTTAAACAATTGTGATTTTTTTCATCCATGTGCAGGTCCATGTTAAAGAGCAGTTTCTTATATTGTGCAGTATTATGTGTTGATACTCACTTCTATTTTGTTGTTTTCTAAGATATGTTTCTATATTTTCAACAGGTCCTATTATTTTATCACAAAGCTCAGTGACTTTATTTCCCAGTGTGCTCCTCTGTACCTGAAACCAACGTCTAAAAACAACTAAAAACCTGTTCAGTGGATTAAACTATTTGGCAGATAAACGAACTGTCAGTCCATCAGATAAGAGACGATTGTGAAATAACTGCTGACAGGTTTAAAAGTGCATTTAAGGAAACTGTAATTCCTCTGCCGTCTGGGTGCAGCTCAGTATTTGTTTGTTTTTGTTATTTAAAGGAAATAATCTGTAGAGTTTACAACTGCAGGTGCCTTTTCTACTCTTTAGACTATTTTTTTTTAGTAAAAACGTTTCTTGTAGTGGGTAAAAGCTGTTGTAAAAAACGTACCTGTCGTGTGTGTGTCACCTGTGAATCCTGCGAAGTTTGGGCCACAGTGACGCGAGTCTTCAGACCAACAGGTGGCAGCAGAGAGCACTGGGTCCACTCTCCATCAGATCACAGCAGCAGAACCTGGATCAGGACCAGAAAACCAGTTTATTGTCTTGCTTTTTTTAGACTGTGGCTTTTTACAGAGATTTTAGGTCTGGTTAAATAATGGACAAATCATAAACAGAACATGAGCACTCTCTTATACTCTAAATCTGGGGAAAGATGACCAATATTTCCTTCAGACACCAACCTTCCATAATCACTCACTGCTAATTAAAAAAAAAAAACAATCATCTCTTTTTCACCCTGGGAGCACAAAGGGGAGTTGACTTCAGTGATTTCATAGACCAGAATGGATTAAGGGAGTTTAACACTTGAATACAAATTTGATCTTGAAAAGAAACAATAATTCTGAAGATTTTTTTAACCTTCAGTGAAAACAAAACAAAAATAATCAATAAACTAACTATGCCTATTCATGATAATATAATACCTGATACAAAGCAAATCTAAAAGTATCTGGTCAGTCAAGGATCTTTTCACATTTTATGACAAAAATCTAAATTCCAATATTTATTTTCTCGTTTTACTTTTATTTTACGTTGGCCAGCTCACCGGGGTTTTCTTCTTTGTTACTTTGTATTTTGCTATTTTTGGACACGGGTTTAGGGTTTTGTTTTTGTTTCCTCACCAACATATAAAGTCATAAATAAATAAAAACGTCTTTAATTCTTAACTTTGTGTCCATGTGCTTCGTAAATATGTTGTGATTCATTTTGGGTTGTAACATCTCCAATGATTCTTTTTTTCTTTTCTTTTTTATTTTAGAGCCAGTTTCCCTCTAAACATATAACATTCAATTTGATTTTTAAAAATAGACAAAGGTGTTTGATTATTTCACAGAAAATTTTCATCCATAGATTTGTTCAGTAATTTCAAAGATTGTTTTCCTTAATGTAAAATAACCACTATTTCAGATTCAAGTCCTGGAAATACACGCAATATCGGGCCTTTTATTACTCATAAAATGCCTAATTTCCATGTGACATTAATTTAGATTTTTTTAAAATGTGCAATAAACGTGTGTCTTATATTTATATCGGAAATACACATAGTTTCAATGTGATATTTTCATTTTTTTCTATGAACCAACAGTGTCTCGTGAAAACCTTTTCTAATATAATCTCTTTAACCTGTTCAGTCAATTATTGAGCCACAGTTAATACGTGATACGTGGCGCCGCCCAGTGGTTGGTGTTGGTTTTCCATCACTGAAGCCTCTGTATGGAGATAAGAAAAGAAAATTAGATTATAATTATTTATCTGGTTGTTTGTAGGCATATATTCTAAATCAGTTATAATTTTACTTTTTTTTTTTTTTTTTTTTTGAGGAAATTAACCTGAACAACAAATTAGTCCCAAAAGAGTGGTACATTTATTAATTACAGTTACAGTTTTTGTTCTTTTTCACACTAGTGTCTCTTTGTCGTTCATAAACAGCGTATCTGCTGATAAATGGCCGCCATCTTTCTGAAGTGAACAGATATTGGACATGAGTTTAAACTCCTTTATCCCTAAAACGCAGCACGATGAACACGGACAAACGATCACAAAATGAGTAAAAACATCGTACGTGTCGGTGAATACGCTCTGAGCTCAAGTTTAAACACTTTAAAACTAAATATATGTTGATTTTACCGTGTTTTTTATAAATGACTATTTATTACTATTATTTCTATTGTTTACCTTTCAAACTTTAATGTTGTATCACTCCCAGTTTTCCTTTCTTTTTTTTTTTTTTTAACTGTCCATAAAGTATTGCCAAGTAAGATTTATTAACAAACTGCTGTTTTAGTAAAATTATAAATCCAAACATGAATCTAATTCTCGGCTCAGTACAGTGAGCTCAGTTCTAAACCTCCACAGCGCCCCCTCCTGACACAACAGGGGTAGAACAGGATCAAGTAAACACGAGCACTTACAGCACTATTATAGTATTATTATTCTATCTATGCTCACTCCTCTGCGAACAGAAAACATTTTTGTGACTTCACAGCTCTTTTATGCTGCACAGTGTTGGCTGCAGATCATTTATATTTAGATGAATATTTAATTTTATGTTATATAAAGTGTTAATTCAAACTCACAAAAGCTTATATTTAAATCATTCATAATAAAAAATAAATAAAAATACAGTTGGCTTGAAAAGTTATTATGTTTGAATATTTTTATCTCATGTGTTGAACTTTGAACTGTCGTCTGATTATTTGACTGACCAATAAAAGTTCGTGATTATCTGAGCGGGTGTGTTCCTCTTTAATATTCGGGTTGTGCGCCATAGTTTAAGAATGTACTATGGTATTTTCTCTTATTGATTAAGAGGCTGTGCGCCATCTGTTCTACTCTAAATGCATCTTCATTCATCATGGAACGATTATTCTGCCGTTTCTGGAGTTCGGATATGGACGCAGAACTTTCACTTTCGACGAAGCTGAAAAACATCTTGCGGTGAGATGAACTAATCAGGTGCGTAGAATTCCGCATTTTTTTACACACATCTTCACTGAAATTTGCCAGAGAATATTTCCAGGGCTTGTTATTGAGGATTGTAAAACATATGTGCGTAATCCGAGACTGAGCGCATGTATTTGCACGAATATTAGAGTGGGACCGTATCAAGTGAATTACAATTTACGATACATTTATTATGACAATGACCCGATCATGAGCATCACCAGAAATGATATTAAATATGAAAAAATACGTGCTGCAGATCATTTTAAATAAACGCCACATAAAGCAGTTGATTCATTGATGTTACTGTTGTTGTTAAACTGGATTATTGACTTTTTATTTTTTCTAGCCTGACTTCAACTGGTGACGGAAAAAACATCATGGCAACTCCTGGTAAGAGTCCAGTCCACAAATTCTCTGTTCTCTCCTCTGTCCCTCTCTCTCTCTCCTCTGTCCTCTCCCCTCCTCCTCTGTCCCTCTCTCCTCTGTCTCTCTCCTCTCTTTCCTCTGTCCCTCTCTTCCTCTGTCCCTCTCTTCTCTCTTCTCTTTCCTCTGTCCCTCTCTTCCTCTGTCCTCTCTCTTCTCTTCCTCTGTCCCTTCTCTCTCTCTTCTCTCTTCCTCTCTCTCCTCCTCTGTCCTCTCTGTCTTCCTCTGTCTCTCTCCTCTTCCTCTCCCTTCTCTCCTTTCTCTGTCCCTCTCTCTCTTCCTCTGTCTCTCTCCTCCTCTCTCCCTCTCTCTTCCTCTGTCCTCTTCCTCTGTCATTCTCTCTCCTCTTCCTCTCTCTTCCTCTGTCCCTTTCTCCTCCTCTGTTCTTTCTCTTCCTCTGTCCCTCTTCTCCTCCTCTGTCTCTCTCCTCTCTTCTCTGTTCTTCTTCCTCTCTCTCTCTCTCCTCTGTTCCTCTCTGTCTCTCTTCCTCTCCTCTCTCTTCCTCTGTGCCCTTTCTTCTCTCCTCTGTCCTCTGTCCTCTGTCCTCCTCTGTCCCTCTCTGTCCCCTCCTCTGTCCCTCTCTCTCCTCCCTGTCTCTCTCTCCTCCTCTGTCCCTCTCTTCTCCTCCTCTGTCCCTCTTCCTCTGTCTCTCTCTCTCCTCCTCTCTCTCTCCTCTCTTCCTCTGTTCTTCTCTTCCTTCTGTCCTCTCTCCTCCTCTGTCCCTCTCTTCCTCTGTCCTCTTCTCCTCTGTCCTCTCTCTTCCTCTGTCCTCTTCCTCTGTCCCTCTCTCTCTTCTCTCTGTCCCTCTCTCCTCCTCTGTCCCTCTCTCTTCCTCTGTCCCTCTCTCCTCCTCTGTCCCTCTCTTCCTCTGTCCCTCTCTTTTTCCCTTCCTCTCTTCCTCCTCTGTCCCTCTCTCTCCTCTGTCCTCTCTCTCCTCTCCTCTGTTCCTCTCTCTCTCTCTCTCTCCTCTTCCTCTGTCTCTCCTCTCTTCCTCTGTCCCTCTCCTCTGTCCCCTCTCCTCTCTCCTCTGTCCCTCTCTTCCTCTGTCCCTCTCTCTCTCCTCTGTCCCCTCTCCTCCTCTGTCCCTCCTCTCTGTCCTCCCTCTGTCCCTCTCTCTTCCTCTGTCCCTCTCTTCCTCTGTCCCTCTCTTCCTCTGTCCCTCTCTTCCTCCTCTTTCATATTTAACTTCATGTTTTCTCTGGACAGTGGCAGAGTTGAAGCCTCTGAAGCACAGCAGCAGTTTTGAGATTCTTCCTCCAGATTGTGAGTCAAAACTCTTCCAATGATGCAACTCTAACCTCAACTCTAAATGTTTAGTACTGATTAAATATTTCAGTTAGATGAGACAGTATTTTGTCACAGTGTGCCACTTTTATAATAGACTCTATAAGAGAAAAGTACAAATAAAATACATTTTTACAAACATTTACATGACTAAAGGTCCGGCGTTTTGCCTGACTAAAAAGGGAGTTTTAGAAGTTATTTTAAATCCGGGTTTGGCACATTGCTGAGTAACTTAGGTCAAACACAAGAACATAAATTGCAGTGTTGTTGGTAAATGATTAGCTTTTTTCTCTCCACAGTTACATCACCTGATCTATTACAGTACAGAACCTTCCCCTTTATGTCGCCTCCTCAGGGTCAATGTAGGAAGTTCAAGACAATAACACATCAACAGTTTACATTCTGAGAAAAAATATCATATTCTTATTACCACAAGTTAATTAAATTCTAATCACAAATTATGATTTGAATGGCGGCACATGCAGACGTAACAGCCTCTCGCTCTCCCAATCGTGCAGTGTTTTGTTTGTCAAAAATGTGTTTGTCTGAGTGTGTTTCTCATTAGTCTACGCTGAAATTATTTGTTGTGTCTCTGCACGTAAATGTTGTTCTGTGTTGTACTTCAATGTCTGTCTGTCTTGTCCACGTATGGGATGGAGAGAAGTGTAATTTCGATTCCTTTGTATGTCCAGTACATGTGAAGAAATTGACAATAAATCTAACTTTGAAATTTGAACATGTTATTCATCTTATCTTAAAACACAAATTACATGGGGAACATGAGTAAAAACAGTTTGAGTTATAGATTATGGGAAATGTTTATCTTGGTCTAAAAATGTTGTTTATTGTTTGTGTTTGTTCCAGTTTCTGAGCTGAGGCTGGTTCTTCTGGGGAGCAGCTGGAGTCTGAGGAGCTCAGTGGGAAACCTCCTTTTGGGAAAGTCTGAGTTAATGAAAGATTCAACTCGATGTGTCGAAGTCAGAGGAACATTTCAGGACAAACTAGTGACTGTGATCTACACTCCAGACCAGCTGCTCTCCACTGATTCACAACAACACAAACTCCAACAGTTTATACAAGACATTAAAGATCTGAGTGCTCCTGGTCCTCATGTGTTCCTGCTGCTTCTACAGCCTGAAAACTTCACTGAGGAACACAAAAACAGACTACAGTCAGTCCTGGAGAGACTCAGTGATCAGGACCTTCAACCATTCACTGCTGCTGATGTTCCAGAACACAAACAGAGACACCAGAGTCCACAGAGAAATACATGAGACAGACACATATAAGGGACATGATCAGCAGATGTAGGTACAGATTTCTGTGGATGAATCACACTGATCTGTGTCAATCTGATCTGGATCTGAAAGAATTTAAACGTAAAGAGCTGTTCTCAAGAATCAGTGACATGTTGAAGGAGAACGATGGAGAACATCTGAGTCCTGACTCCTCTGAGGAGGAAGACACAGGTCTGACTTTGGCCTCTGGTATAAAACACAAACCCTCTCTGAACCTGGTTCTTTTTGGGAGCAGTGGAGCAGGGAAGAGCTCAGCAGCTGAGTCCATTTTAGGTGGAGCAGATCTCCCTGCAGCGAGCAGCTCAGGGCAGTGTGTTAAACATGAGGGAGAGGTCTGTGGGCGTCGGGTGTCTCTGGTGGAGCTGTCGGTTCTGTCTGGAGAACCTCTGGAGACAGTGATGGAGCAGTGTCTCCGCTGCATCTCCCTCTGTGCTCCTGAGGGCGTCCATGCCTTCATCCTGGTTCTACCGCTGGGTCAACTCACCGACGAAGACAAGGAAGAGTTTGAAATCTTACAGAACACGTTGAGCACTCGGGTCAGAAACTTCACTGTGGTCCTGATCTCCATGAAGTCGGACGCTGCTCCTGTGAAATTCACCAGAGAAAGTGGCGCGGACCTGGAGGAGCTGTGTCGGATCTGTGGAGGAGAAGCCCTGTGTCTGAACATCAGGGACACAGAGCAGGTCCTGGAGGTGATGAAGACTGTGGACAAACTGACACAACGAGGCACCAGAGCCTACACCAGAGACATGTTTACAGACGCTCTGGTGGAGAAAGCCGTCAAGTCTCCACAGATGTATTTGAGCCCAGTGGAACTGATTGGAAGCGCTGTGGGAAAAAAAAGTGGGAAAAGCTGTGCTTCAAACACTATTCTGGGGGAGAGATGCAACCTGAAGTGTGCCAAAAGAGCGTTCGGTGAGAGGTGGCGAGTGATGAGCGGGCTCTGGTGGAAAAAAGCGCCCAGTCTCAGCGCAACCACTGTTCTGAGATGGACGAGCGAGCTTGCCAAAAGAGCGACGGTCGATTTTTTTTCATGCTGTTGCGAGCTTGTTTCAGAAGAAGTTCCAAATGAGAGCTCTCTGTGCTCGGCTGCTTTTTTCTGCCTGCGATCGGAAACATCCAATAAGGACGGTCAATCCGCAGCTGATCAAGAGCTGCGGCTCGGGGAGAAGGCGCTGCAGTTTGTCATGATTGTTTTCACCAGAGGAGACGAACTGGAGAATCAGTCTTTTCAGAACTAGAGGATTTAGAAGTGACTTTGTCAAAAGGACATGTTACGGGAACAGGCAAAAAACAATAAGGACGAAAGTCGCGACGCTGAGAACTGATTGACTGGTGCAGACCAACCAAAAAACTTGGGAGTGAGAGTCAGCGTGAAAAGGTGAGGAGAGATAAAAAGTGTGAGCAGGAGAGGGCGCTGAGGGACAGGCAGCTCAAGGAAAAAGAGGAGCTCCTCAAACAGGAACGCCAAGACCGGAGGAAAGAGCAGGAGGAGAACGTGAAGAAGCGCAGGAGGGAGGCGGAAGCGGCGCGTGCGGAGTGGAGGAGGAGGGCGGAGGAGGCGGAGAGGAGGGCCGGGCAGGAGGCGGAGGAGAGGAGGAGGGCGGAGAAACAGCTGGAGCAGCTCCGCAGGGAGACGGAGCGGCGGCGGCAGGAGTGGGACAGGGAGCGGGCGGACATCCTGGAGAGCCGCTGCCAGGAGCTGAAGCAGAACCTGGAGGTGCAGTCGGAGAGCTACAGGCAGCTGCTGGAAGAATACCTCCGCAAACGCAAGAAGTGGACATGGATTCTGTTTGTGTCGCTGCTGTTTTCTTTATTTCTGGGATATTATTTTCTCCTCAGCCACAGATGAAGACACAGGGGCCTCCTTCCCACTCCTCTAAGGGCCCATATTATTCTGATCTATGTTATAATAATGTAGGTTCCTCATCACAAACAGACGCTGAGTTGTTTTGTTTCATTCACACGTTTAACACACAAACCCTGCAGACGCTGTTCCACCTTGTGATGTCATGTGGTGAAGCAGAAAATGCTTCACTGTGTTTTTAAACTCCACACATCTGCACCAGAATCAGTTGGATCAATTCAGCTTTGGACTTGTCACTCTCTACTAGTGACGGGCATTCGATGAAATTTTCTTAATCGATCGTCGGAAGAATTAACGATCGATTATCGATTAATCATTAACGTTTTTATATTAAAATGATCATCATTATTATTTCTATCTGCACTAATCTGCATCAATAAATTCAACTTTACGACATATAAACATAACGACTCTAGATCCACATCAGCTGTTTGACATTATAATGTGTTTAATTCAGTTTTGTTCAAATCTCACAGAAACAAAACTTAAAACCACATCACTAATTTACATAAACTAAGTGAAGATAAAACTCCAGCTCTTGTGTCGCTGATGTGGTTCAACTTGTGTTGGATTAAAAGACATGACTCAGGTGAATACAGGTCAGTGTGACCAGATTTGTGTTTGTCAAAACCAGGACAGCGTACGGGGGGAGGGGGGCGGGGCCTCGTCATCCACATTGAGCGACTCTCACCTGGAAAAACTTTTTCCCACTGGACACAGAAACATATGTGCTGCTTTATCCACTGTGCACATGGACTCACACTTGTCCCAACGCAACGGAAAGTGTGGAATTTCTTCTACAAATCCTGGTTAAATCCACATTTGTGCTTCGGTTCGTTACAGACTGACCCACTGTTTGTGTCTCGCTCCTTCTGATGCAGAGACACATGTTCACACCTGTTTGTCCCCGGACACAGACGTATGGTCTCCCTACGCTACACACAACAACCTACATTTGGTTTGTCGATTAAAATGAACGTAATCGATGAAATTCTTTTCTCAATTATTGATTAATCGACTAATCATGCCCATCCCTACTCTCTACTGAACTATGTCGCTTCGTGACATCACAAGGTGGAACAGCATTTGGAGCTTTGGAGATGTAGACAGACAAATAGTAAAGAGTTACTCAAAATTCCAGTATTAAATTACAATTCCAGGTCTGTTTTTGAGGAGGTCACAATATGTATTAAAGCTCAGAGTCAGACCCCCCGGGCCAGAGACCAGTACCGGTCCGTGGGTCGTTTGGTACCGGGCCACAAAGAAAGAATAAATAACTTACATTATTTCCGTTTTATTTATTATCCGAGTCTGAACAATGTTTTATTTTGAAAAATGACTGAATTGTCTCTTGTCTCGGTTGCGTGAAACATTAACACTAATATTAAACTCACAAGCTGCAAAATGAGTAAAAAAACAGACGTCTTTGGAAACATTTATTATATTTACAAAATACCACAGTTTTTGTGTTGGTCGTATCATTTTATTTTGTCGTATTTATCTGCCACACCTTACAGGTCTGTGAAAATATCGTCTGACATTAAACTGGTTTGTGGCACAAAAAAGGTTGTGGACCACTGTAATAAAGGACACGGAAGAATGTAACTGATTACAAATATATTACTGTATTTGAGTAGATATTTGGGGTAATTGTACTTTTTTGGCAGATTTTAAAACTTGTACTTGAGTATAATTCTATCCATGTAATTCTTTTTTTTAATCACAGAAGTTACTGAGCACTGTACAAATGTATAATCAGTGTTGGGAAAGTTACTTTTAAAATGTAATCCCCTACAGATTACAGATTACACACACCAAAATGTAGTTTGTAACAGAATCCATTAAATTACTTAAAGTGAGTAATGTAATCTGATTACTTTGGATTACTTGATTTGCTGTAGAGAAACAAAGACGAGGAAATCTTCACATAAGAAGTTTTGTCTGATAAAAGAAAATAAAAAGTCCAAACTTTACTGAACCAAATTAAAAATATTATTGATAGAAAACGAAGAAACACGTCCACACAGCAGGAAGTCCTGGTTTAGTCCTGGTTTTAGTCCTGGTTTAGGGTTTAGTCCTGGTTTAGACCTGGTTTTAGTCCTGGTTTTAGTTTTAGTTTTAGTCCTGGTTTAGTCCTTTTAGACCTGGTTTAGTCCTGGTTTTAGTCCTGGTTTAGTCCTGGTTTAGACCTGGTTTAGTCCTGGTTTAGTCCTGGTTTAGTCCTGGTTTAGTCCTGGTTTAGTCCTGGTTTTAGTCCTGGTTTAGACCTGGTTTAGTCCTGGTTAGTCCTGGTTTAGTCCTGGTTTAGTCCTGGTTTTAGTCCTGGTTTAGTCCTGGTTTGGACCTGGTTTAGTCCTGGTTTAGTCCTGGTTAGTCCTGGTTTAGTCCTGGTTTAGTCCTGGTTTAGTCCTGGTTTAGTCCTGGTTTAGTCCTGGTTTTAGTCCTGGTTTTAGTCCTGGTTTAGTCCTGGTTTAGTCCTGGTTTAGTCCTGGTTTAGTCCTGGTTTAGTGTTCGGCAGTGAGTGGAATTACTAAAAAAATAAATAAATAAAGGGATTTAGCCCAAAATGTGAAAACAGGAAAATCCCTCTGTGTAATCCATTTATTTCAAGAAAGTAACTGTAATCCAATTACCACTCACTGAAACAGTAACTGTAACTGAATACAGTTACTCATCATTTGTACTCTGATTACTCCGGTACATGTAATCTGTTACTCCCCAACACTGTTTATAATCCACGGTCGTTCTACACGACAAACACATAACGGCTCTGAATCGCCTGCTCTGATTGGCCAGAGCTCAGCAAATATGCAAATAGTGATTTACAATTAATACATTTAGTATTAACTGTTATTATTGATCAAGTTTTGTATAAAAGTTTGTTCTGAAATGCTTCTAAACTTGTGTTAACTGGTGTTTTATTATTAAATAAGTATTATTTTTCACTATATTTCATGCATATTTTTTATTTTAGTACTTAAACGTGGACTATGTGACCTTCTTGTTTCTATGGAGATGTCATTGCTCTGCCTGGAATGTTCCACAGTGTGACTTTAAGCAGCTCTGCCTTGTATTTATTCAGTTACAGATGATTTTACTGCTCAAAAACACCTAGAGAAACAGACATTCTGACTGTGAGTGGGGTCGCCTCTCCACAGATCTGACCTGGAACGTGGTCTGGTTTGGTTTCCGTGAAGATAGAAAAGTTTAATGCCATAGTGTGAAACATTCCAGATAAAGCAGTAACATCTCCATGGAAAAAAAACCCATACTTGTAACTGAGTACATTATACTTGTACATGAGTGCACATGTTCAGTTTTCTTTCCACCGCTGTGGGTTTTTCATGTAGTGGAGACAAACGGTTTAGTCCCTGTGCAGAAAATTCATGTGTTAATTGATCAAGATACAATTCATGTCTCTGTCCAAGACGATTTTGCAGATTCGATGTTCTTGAAAACAGGTTTGAGCATTTCGGCCTCTTTACAAAACTGTTACCTGCTCAAAAACACCTGCAGTTGTGTTTTGTTTCATTCACACATTTGAGTAACTCTGCATTATTATTATTAGTCTGTTTACATCTCCAAAACTCAAAACGCTCTGTGCCACCTTGTGATGTCATGTAGTGGAGGTTTGCAAGTGAACAGCTCCTTTTACCTTTAGTTCAGTAGAGATTGTCAATTCCAAATGATTCCAGTGAAGGTGTGCGGAGTATATAAAAACGCAGTGGAGCACTTCCTGTTTTACCGTATGAGAGGACAGGACATAAATCAGCCTAAATCTGCAGGGTTTGTGTGTTAAAACATGTATGAATGAAACAAAACACAAATCCAGGTATTTTGGTGATGAAGAAACATTATAACATAGGTCAGATTCCCTTAAAAATACTTAGAACATTTTGCGAGTAACTTTATGGCTCATACAGATTTGCCTGTTGTAGCACTTATG